AAGTAACATATACTTGATAAATACACTATAATCATTAAACTTATTATAATCGCTAAATATGTCAAACTTAAATATCAATATTATATTGGATAAAAAAGATAGAACGTTACCTAAGCCCTTTAATAATAAACCAGGGTATGATATGAAATACGTTGCTTCATATGTCTCAAATTTATGAGGATAAAGATAAGTTATTCAAGCTTAGCGGAGTTAGCATGGCTAATTTTTGTTAAACAGCGTTATCTGATTGATTATGCAGATGGAATATCGGGATGAAATAATTTATTTTTTTCATTAATTTTCTCTATCATTATCTCCTTGAGTATTATTCTCAATATTTCCATTGTCTAAATTATTTTCAGTGAGAACCCACGTTTTGTATATCTATTTCAAAACCTTGATTAGACTGATTAATATTAACGTTCCTCCTACTATCATTAGATGTTCTGCGAGGTGATCTGGATCGTTCCCTTTGGCTAGCAGAAATTTCTCGGAGATTAAGCATCGATGAAACTTCTTCATATGATGGTGGTGGTGTACGACTACGTTGTCTTTCTTCCCGTCTTCTGGATGATCGGTTTACATTATGAATTTGGTCGAATTGCGTTTCTATTTTTCGTAAAAAATTTAGTCTTGTTAACTCTGCTAATAGCTTTCAACATATTCATATAAAGTGAAATTACCAGGTCTTTCCCAAAAGCGAGAACGAAATTCATCGAAATATTTTTCAGCAGTTCTGGTTCTCCGACCCGTTCTATTTCCAGCCATATACCTACATAACGACTAGTATAATTGGAAATTGTTAGGAATTAATCATATAGCGAGCTCGGTACATGTATATAGAGATTTCGTAATTGCGAAAAAAAAATAATACTTACATTATGACTATTAACAAGATTTCGAAACTTGTCCTTACATTGATGACCAGTATAATTAGTGCGGAATTCTTCATTAATTTTATTTGCGATTTCATTCCAAAAATCAACTCTGCTACTGCCAACAATATTATGGTATTCAATATTTCTAGATTTACGTTCGTTAATTAATAATCGTAATTGGTCATTGGTCCACATAGTGAAAATGGAAATAATATATATGTAAAAGATATGTAAAAGATATGGAAATAATAGATATGTAAAAGATACGGAAATAATAGATATGTAAAAGGTATGGAAATAGATACAAAAAATAACTTATATTTATACTACTTTTTTTCTAAAAAATCGAATTAGCGGTAGTTAAAGATAATTTACTATATTTTAATATTATGATTTACTATATTTTAATATAATGATTTAATATATTTTTAGCGTGATTCTAGCTC